GAGCTCCCTGAGGACACAGGTACAAACCAAAGCCCATGGCGTACTTTACACACACGTATTTAGAAATCTTAGTGAAGAACAAGGTATCAGTCAGGCCTCTCTGGGCACCAGCAACAGAAACTGACTCTGGATAATGCAAAAGAAAAGATTTACATGGAGGCCACAGAGAAGCTAAAGAACCAGGGAGGGGGCAGACAGAAACCTGGCAGCTCTGGGGCCCTGTGTGGTAGGAGCTCTTCAACAGTTCCACTGGGGCACTGCCATGAAAATGGAAAAAGGCCACCATTTTAGTAAACTAGTTTCTCTGATCACCATTCAACTTCTAGGGAGAAATAGAGTGTCATCCCATTAACTAGAATATGGTCTGATGCCTTGATTAGTAGGCTTGGCAAGACAGGATGCCTATGGTGAGAAGAGAACCAGGAGGATGTGAGGGCACAGAGCCAAGGGAGAAGTTTCTATGAAGGCAGTGGCCAACATTGTCAAAGGCAGCAACAGGACCAGGCAAATGAGGACAAAGATCTACCTGCACGAATCAGCAATTAGTAGAATGGTTTTAGTGTGAGAACAGGGACAGAAGCTAGATGCTCTGGGTTGAGGAGTCAATGGGAAGAGAGGAGATGTGGACAGGCCACTCCTTTGAGGGGTCTGGATAAGAAGAGAAGGTTGTTAGAGAGGCCATTGGTCAAGGGTGTATTCTTCTTAGGGTAGGGGAGACTTGAGACTCTTTATAAGCTAAGACAAAGGAGCAGAGAAGCAGCAAAGGTCAAGAGACAGAGGAGAACGGTAGTACAGTCAGAGCCCGGGGACGGGAGGATGGCGCAAGGGCCTGGACAGAAGGGCTGGCCTTGGAACTCTCTCTTTGCCATTGTCATCTGTTCTTCACTGCTCAGAATGTCTTTATTATACATCACAGTTCTTGCTGTCTACTTGCTTTAGAGTATTGTTTTAATTTCAGTTCAGCCATCCGCTTCGTAAAAGCGGGAATCGCGTCTCTGTAAGTAGGACAGGAAAGGTGCTGCACAGGAGATGGAGAGACCAGAGTTTTAGGCCCAATTTGTATTATTAGACTGTGCAAAGCTGTGTGTTCCTGATTCCCAGCTATAGTGGCCTGGCCAGATAGGTTTTTAATTTTCTTACAAATTAAGAAGTCAGCAGGTAAGCAGTTCCCAGCTGGTGCAGCAGCCCCATGTTGTATTTAGGATATCAGACTTTTTCTATTTATCCGCTCAGCCAGTGGATAAATAACCTTAGCAAGCGACTTTGGAGTTCATGCTTGTCACCTCGTAGACTCAAGATGGCTGCTTGGCCTCCAGGCTCAGGTTCACATTCCAAGACAGAAGAAGGAAGGAGGAGAAGGGCAGGGAGCTCCTGTGTTTGGAAAGCACCACCTTCCTACTAATCCCAAGCAAACTCCCATTTGCTTCTCATCACCATGCCGTCTCCCACTTTAAACAAAATCAGCATTTCATTGTATCCGGGCTTCTCTGCATCCCTGGCTTGCTCCTAACAGCATCTTTGGGGTTCCTTTTGGGGATTTGCCTCTCTCCACCATGAAAGGCTTAGCAGAAGAGTAAGTTCAGGCACTTTCTTCTTCAATAACCAAAGTTGAAGGGGCTTGCCAACATTTGCCCCAGGACAGCCAAGGGAGCGTGTCCTAATCTCGGCCACTGAGAGGGTCCCTCCCAGGACCTTGGCTCACACATGAGTGCAGTAAAGACAAAAGAAGTGGCTACAATTTAATCACCTCTCCCTGCCGTGACTTCCTGACTAGACCATTTCTGCTAAAAGATAATTCCTAGGGATTTCACTTTCTAGCTTTTCAGAAGTGCTTTCTTTCCATCCCTTTCTAAGCCTGGGTTTTCAACCTTCCTGTAAATTCTCAAAGTTCAATCCTACCAACAAATTCTCTTCTACTCAGTTAGCAGAGACTGTCTGTTGTTTATAACACCAACAAAAAAGTCCTGGTGATTCTCCAACCCCATCTCTGACCAGCTACATGTGATCGTAAGAAAACCATTTAACCTCTTTGGGTACACTCTCCTCAAGGAAAACAATGAGTTATTCCTAAAGTGCTTTCTGATGTGAGGCATCATGACTTTGACCTCTTTCAGAAGGCCTGCTTTGTAACCAAGTGGGCCCAGATGGACAGCACAACCTGGATTAGAGTTTTTGTTTTGTTTTGTTTTGTTTTTTGGAGAGGGAGTGTAATTAGGTTTATTTATTTATTTATTTTAATGGAGGCACTGGAGTCTGAACCCAGGACCTCATGCATGCTAAACATGCACCCCTACTCTACGACTGAGCTATACCCTCGCTTTGCATTAGAGTTTTAGCAACAGGGGTAGACTATAAAAGTTCCATTAGGAAAAATAATTTACAGCATTGGGGAGCTGCTATCAGCACACTCCTTAGACAATTAAGCCTAGGTGGATGCTCACCAAAACCACTCCACTGCTGGTGACACCAGAGTGCAACGTTTTCCTTAGCAAATAGGCACTATTTTGTGTCATCCTGCTGTGAATTTTAAAGACCCACTGGCCAATTCTATGGTTTCAACTGTTCTTGATTCTAAGACTGCTTCATTGCATCAGTGTAAAACCTATTTTTTAGGGAGTCTTTGTTTTCACTTTAAAGTCTCTTCTGCAGCAGACATACATCTGTTTTACAAGATTTCAGAATACAGGACAGAGGACTCTGTAAATTCATAGGTCGTACCTTTAAGGAAAAATTACTTTGTTAGAACAGCAAAGCGGCCTCAGTTTGGCCTTCTGTTCTAGCAAAAGCTCATTGCTTAGCTGCATTTAATAATCCATGAGACATTTCTATTAACTTTGGTGTGTGAATTGTGTGCCTGCAGAATGGGTTAAAAAAAAAAGTGGGAAGCAGGAATAAAAAATATGAAGAAAATGAAAATAAGTGAGATCTTAAATATTTGATCAAGGCCTCTATTTTCAGGTAAGCAGTTACCATCTTGGGCCCTCAAATGGTAACAGAAGCCACAGAACACCATTCTGAATTATTTAAATGACTAGGGGAAACTTTTTTCTTCTTTTTTTCTTCTTACTACTTTTAAATGAGTATGTAGCCTTTCAAGCTAAACTTTGCTTAAATATTTAACACAGACATTGGGACCAATGTAAAATAGCAAAAGTTCTCAGTCTACTCACCTGTAATTATGAATCAGATTATGTAAAGCATCTCAACCAGTTCTTTTTATTTTTTCTCTCTCTGCTCCCACAATTCTACCCAGTTTCAGAGGAATCCAATCTGGATTACTTGTGTCAACTGAAAAAGTGCACAGTCTAAAAGTTGAGAGTTCTGTTTTATTTGGCTGACATTTCTGGGGTCTTAAGCCTGGGATGACAGCTTCTCAGATTGCTCTGAGGGAAACTGCTCCAAAGAGGCAGGGGAGAAGTCAAGATATAAAGGAATTTTTGCAACAAAGACCAAGCAGTCAAAATATCAAAAAATTTAAATTTTTTTTAATTTCTGGGTTTTTTTAAAAAAATAGAGTTTTTAAAAAGGAGGAAAAACTATCCCCATACATATAGATATGAAGCCGCTTACTCCTTCCCAAAATATTGTTACCTCCAATTTCAGAGAAGGATCCTGAGGCTTGAAGAAGTGACTTTGCCCAAGGTCACCATGTGGAGCCGCACACCTGAAGGGAGTTACTCCTGATTCTCAGGAGCTGAACTTGGGAGGAAGGGCAGTGAGCAGGAGAGACGGGAGGCAGAGCAGAGGAAGGGGAAGGGCTGAACTCTCTGAGGAGAGAAGGGATGTCAGGGAGGGTCCAGACACTGCTTCTTCCATCTGAGTAAGGAGTGGGGACCAGCCCCTACATCTGTGCACATATTGGGTGATAGCTACGTACTCCCTGGGCTAATACAAGAGGGGCAAGTACAGACCCTCCTAAAAATGGGGACACTATGCCTGTCCAGCCAGCCTCATGGGAGCACTGTGAAGATCTGGTGACCAGGCAGGGGCTGTGAATCTCAGAGTCAGCTTTACAAAACACTCCATGCTAAGAACCTGTCACCAATACCTGGAAAAGCTGGGAATTAGGTGTGCAGCAATCATAAAACCCTGACATCAACCTTGATGTCTCTTTTTTGCACACTTTGGTTCACTCTACTAGGAAATCCTATTGGCAGAAACTGATGCATCCTCACTTTCACAGCGCCCCCCACCCAGGGGGAGCGGGGAGAGTTATGAAGGTTCTGGGTGGGCAGAGGAAGCCAGGCCACTCTGGGGAAGCAAATTCAGGAAATAAATTACCTGCGAAGATCTCAGAGGATACTGATCTGAATCTCCAAAGGCCCCAGGATTTTGTTGTGATTGCTTTTTTCATTCTAAATAAATTTTCACTCTCGAGCCTTGAATCTGTAGGGCTTTCTAAAACAGTCTTCCTCTCCCCCTCCCTCCACAATTGTATAAGCTTCAGGCCCCAGAAAACCTTCATCTGCTCCTGGTTTGAGGTCTCAGAGCTCACCAGGGCAGAACTTGAGAACAGAGGTGTAAATTTGTCAGGAGAAGGGAGGCAGGGGCACAGTAAGAGAGTAAATCCTCATCTAACATGGCAGAAAGTCAATAGATAAATCAAGAAACCGCCATGTAAGCTTATTTTTTAGCGACAAGGGGGTAGCCACTAAAAGAACTCAGTGGAGGAACTGATATGAAGGGCTGTATGTGAGGCACAAGGGAGAGGGCCCTGTGTTCATTATAGGAACATCTCGATAGTTTTATTTTGTAAAAAGCGCTCATGCATTAATTTGATATATTTTTTAATTCGAGCTTTTAAAAAAGGAAGTACAGTTAAATAAAAATAAGAAATAAAATGGAATAAAAAATGTAGAAATTAAATGCAAACTGGCACATGGCACAAAAAGACCCGGAGTGAAGGGGGGGCGGGTAATAGGCGGGGCTTGGAGCAAAGGGGCGGGGCACAGACCAGGTTTCCTTAGGGCCCGCCCCCAGTGAGGGATCCCGGCGCAGGCTGTTTCCCTCTGACTCCGCCCACCGCGGGGAGCCCCGTAAGCGCGGGGTCAAGTTCGTCTTTGCCCCGCCCCCCAGCGTTGGGGCGGGGCGGACAGGTCTCGGGCTGCCCCACCGTAAAGGGCGGTGCGTTTGGAGGCCTGGCGCGGTCCCCGCCGGGCCTTGGGTGCTGGGCCGGGCACGGGCGGAGAGAGAGCCCGGGTTCGGCGCGGCCGAGTCCCCAGTCCTCTGAAGTCCCCCGAGGCTCACCGAGCGCCTCTGTGGAGTCCCGCGACGCGCAGGTAAGCGCTGCCAGGGCCGGGACTAGTCAGCCCGCCTTTCCCCTCACGGGCGCCCGCCGAGACCTGGCCGGCGCCAGGGCGACAGGTGGCGTCCGGGCGCGGAGCTCGGTAGCCTGTCCTGGGTCGGGTGGACCCCAGAACGCCCCCCTCTGCCGCCGCCGGTACTCGCCACGGCGTTATCAACCTAACCCCAGCGCCCCTGTGGCTCAGGCCCGAGCCTCGCCGAGTGAGTTCGGATCCCACCTTCAGCGCTCTTGCGGTGCACTCAACAGATACAAATAAGTATCCAACATGTCCTACGTGCCACTGAGTGCCCGCCACTGGGCTCAGTGTGGGGATACAGTGGCGGGCCAACGAAAGGTGCCCGTCGCCGTGGAGCTCGGAGCCTGGTGGGAGAGACCCACGGCAAATAGGTAGTCTCCACACGTAAGTGTAGAAGTTCAAACTCTGAAAGGGCTGTGAAGATGTGGGGTGCAGGGTCCCGGGAGAGCGTTCAGCCTGTGGTGCCTGACTGTAAAGGATGCTGGAGCTCACACTTCAGTTTGAATGGCAGGGTTCCCAGGTGGAGACCCACAGAGCAGACACACTTTGTTGGAGAGAATGTGGCTTATCTGAGGAAAGGAAGGTCAGTGGGGCCGGCCCACAGAGAGCTGGAAGGAAAGCAAGTACCTTAATTTCCTATGTAACACAGGACTGTTCTTTCCCAGTGGTGTTTGAGAGGTTGAATGTAAATGACTTTAGTGGTGTTCCAAGCATGCAATAAGTGAAGTAAAAGTGGAGATGTTCCTGGAGGGAGCAGCTTGTTGATCTGGGCTGAACACAGTGTGTGGCCTCTGGGCAAACTCACTTGCCCTCTCCTGGAGTCCTGTTTCCTCGTCTGAGTAGAATCTCTCAACTTGTTCTCTGAAATGATGACTGCTTTAGTCATTCATTCTTGAAATATTTACCTGGTGCCCACTTAACACTGGCCCAGCCCTCCTGGAGCTGGTATGGGGTGGGCCAGGTGAAGTACACTGACGGTTCCAGCCTGATGGGTGTGGTGCTCCGGGAGCCCAGAGGAAAGGGTCTGACCCTCTGGACTTGCCAGGGAAAACCCCTCTGCTTCCGGCCAGGACCAGGTTTGCGTTTCCCAGAAAGCCTCACCTGTTGCTGCCAGCTCCACGAGCCCCCTGAGAACATAAGGCTCACACTCTTCAGCTGAGCATCAGTTACTTCCTTACTTTCATTGGTGGCATCACCCCGTAAATCTGGCCAGAAAACTCCCAAGAGGCAGCAACCCTGCTCGTCCCTCGCTGAGGACCCCCAGGGATTTAGAAGAGGTTTGCGGGCTTCAGAAAACACCTGGCTGGCATCTGCTTGGTGTATTTTATTGGCTTTAATGATGCCAATTCCTTCTTTGGCTCAGTTTATACTGTTGGTGTAGCTTGGGAATTTGAAACATGAAATTGGATGGAAACATGGATTCTCCATGAAAAGAGGCAGGGAGACTCAGAGAGTGGGAGAACATAGTTCAAAGGAGTCTGGCACTGTTTGTGGGGAGGGGTGAAAAAACAGGACAGGTATTAACAGAAAGTGCTGGAGGGAGAGGGGGAGAGGGCAGGCTTTGTGCAACCACTCCGTTTCAGTTGGCAGACCATGCACCTGCAGAGAGCAGCAGGGAGCCCTAGGCTGTGCTGTCACAGATCTGGGTTCAGATCCTTATTTGTTACTTCCCAGCTCTGTGCCTGAGCCTAGGCAGGTCACTTCTTATCTGATTGTGCAGGCTGTAGACAGTACTTGGCCTCTAGTTGGCCCTAAAGAAATATTACCTCCCTCCCTCTTCCTCTAAATGAACTAAGATAGGAGTAATAATAGTGCCTACCTCAGAGCATTATTATGGGGACTTAATGAGTTAATGTACCTAAAATACACAGAACAGTGCCTGCCTTGTAGAAGTCACTGCTGCTGCTGCTACTGCTGCTATTATTCCTTATGCTGGGCAAAAATTGGTGAAACGAGGCAGGCAGAGGGTGGGAGGTGGGGTGAGGGGGTGGTTCTGAGGGCCTGTGCAGGGTGATTAGTGGGAGAGTTGTGTTATCTGTCGTAGTGGTTTCACCAGAAAGCATCAGCCCTGGCGGGAGAGAGGGGTGTGCTGCATGATAAAGGGCCTCTCGGGAAGCCAAGCTGTCAAAAGGCCTGAAAACTCAGGCTAAAGAAAACACGACAAAAGCATGGGGGGAGGGGAACTACGGTGACAAATGATCTACAACTGTCTTGTTCAGGTTGTCTTTAACCCACAGATGGGTGTGGGCCCCCTGTGAGGGGCTGCTCCTGCCCCCATGCTGACCCCTGCCCTCCTTTGGGTATGGTAATTGCCTGAGACTGGTCCAGGAGCTTTGGAATCCAATTCTGTAAGCCCTGTACCCAGCAGAATACTAGGTCCATGGTGGATGAATGAACCTCAGGGCAAACATCCCTGTGTGTAAGGGTGCTGTTCAAAGACAGGAGTAGGAAGATAGACAGGGAAAGATAACTAATGTTTTTAAGCCCTTGCTAAGGGCCAAGCGTTTTCACGTATGTGTCAGCTTAGTGGTGAACACTGCAGCATTGGAGTCAGATGAAATTGCGTGTAACCTCACAGAAACCCTCTAAAGCTCAGTTTTGCATCTGCAAGATGAGAATCATTGTACCTAACTCATAGGGCTATACTGAGCTTTAAAGTAATGATCATATATGTAAGTATATGGAATGCCGTCCTCAGTGCACTGCTCGAGTTATGGTAAGTTACTTGATCAGTTATGGCTGCAGTTATGACTACTGTATTTATTAATCCTCCCAATGCTATCCACTGTGATGAGGAAACCGAAGGCCACAGACACGGATAGGTGGTGTTGATTCTGAACTCAGTCCCATCTGGAAGCAGAGGCGCTCTGCAGACACTAACTAGACAGCTTTATGTGCATTTCATTCATTACTTAAGGCACTTGACTCTGAAATCTTGAAAGGAAAAAAAACTGTAAAATTATAATTTATGTGCCTTTCAAGTTCAGGTATTTTATCATCTAGATAAATCTTCCTTGCATCTATGTTAAACCACTTTGTGCTGTTGAAGCTTTTAAATAAAGTGGCTCGTCCTGACCAGTGTCTGTCTTTGCTCGTTTATCATAGTTCCCTGGTAAAGACAGACATCCCATTTTGCAGGGCAGGCCTCGGGACGGCAGCTCCTGCCCCACTGTCTAGCCGTGAAGTTCTGCACGGTATGTTTAACAAACCACAGTGGACTCATGATTCCCTCACCACGTGCACATAGGCCCACAGCACCAATCCAGGAACTAGGAATAGAAAGGCATTCTGCCCCTAGTGTGAATCTGGGGAAATCTAAGTTTCTCAGTACTGGGTTTTTGGGTGAAAGTGCCTTGGATGAAGATGGCATGTCTTCTAGAAGTCAGAGCCGTCTGCCCTTACCACCCAGGAGCACCATCCCTGGGTCCGACCTGCCCAGTAAAGGTCTGATCTGTATCCCTGTGCCTCCCTGCTGTCCCTGCCTCTGACCAGAACTGCTCCTAAAGCCAGAATCCCTGCATCACCTGCCTCTTGCAGGGAAGCCTATCTGAATCGACCCTGCACTCCCATAGTCCCAGTGGGCACCTCTGCCAGGCATCCCTTCTCCAGCTGCCCTGGAATTACCTTCTTTACGAGACTGTGAGCCCTTCCACAGCTATTAGACCAAGCATCCCTAGTACCCAGCACTGTACTTGGCTCATTATCCTCCCTCCTTCTTGCCCTTTCTTCCTCCTATACATTCTTCAGGCAGTGTCCTGGGGATTAAAATGCTGAGACTAAATGACACAGTGTTGGCCCTCATTCCACCCAAAGGCATCACAAGACAGATTATTAATAAAGCAGGAATTAAGCACATGAACACACACACAGCATCAAATTAGAAACTGGATTAACTGCCATGAAGGCGAAGCCCAGCATGTCACAAGAATGGGTAGAGGTGGGACAGATACAGAAATGTAGTCAGTATCAGTCTAGATAGAGTGGGCCCCTAAATGTTGGTTAGAGGCTTAGACTCAATTATAAATATACCTTTGAAGACCATTGGATGGTATTTTTCTATAAATGCTGGCAAACAATGTTTTATGTGGCCAAGGTAATCTTAAAAGAATATGTGCTTTGAAAAGTCATCATGCTTTGGCTTCAGAAAGGGAGAATAATGCTCATGCTCCAATTTCCTGACCCTTTAGAGTTACAGAGCCCCTCCTCGGCTGGTGTCCCATTGGATGCTCTAGTTCTCAGCATCCTACTTCTCATGCTGGGTGCTGGCCGTAAATGTGCATCCAGCTCACCTGAAAGTAGATCTGGTGCCGTGGACATCGAAGCCCCCTCCCTTCTGAGTGACAGGTCCACTGAGAGCCTGTTTTTTTTTTTCTCCTTTGACACCCCTGGGTACACCAGACTGCGGTTCCAGCACAGATCCCATCACATTGCATCCAGTGACCATTCAAGGGGAAAGAAGGGCAGAGCTCACTTCTGCCATCCAGGCTGGGGGGACCACTGGTCTGCACACAGCTGAGGCAGGGCGAGATGGCAGCGACCTACCCCAGCAGAGCCATGCCGTCCCTGTGAGGTCCCTCATGAGGAACCAGCATCCTCCAGAGGGACACCACGCCTGCTTGCAAGCCCATTCACTTCCTCTGAAAAGAAGGAGAAAGTAATACTAAAGTCCAGTTTTAAATAAGACATGATCCAAACAGCCCCAGGAAGCATTCTCTCTCCATGACTAAATGTTATTGGAGAGTTATTTTATTCATCTGGCCAGTGCTAATGACAGAATACCTCTTCCATCTCCACCTGCCTCAGAGGTAGACCTTATTACGAGAGGTGAGCTTCCATCTTCCCCGGAGCAAAGGAAGGAAACTCGCATCGCGGAGCAGACATTGAGAAGGCCTCGCGCCAGTCTAGGTGGGGTGGGGCTGACTGCTGTATTCTCAGCGTACGGCTTTAATAGGGTTGTA